ATAGCTAAATTCAAACCAAGTACCTACAAAAACCTCTCACATTGGATAAACATCTACAGAGTTCCACAGTCAAACATTAGCCTATTTATCAAAATCTAGGAAGTATATAACTGATGCACGCATGAACAAAGATCACTACTACTCTCAGGTGACTTCAATTTACAATCCGCTAGACCAGACCCCACACGTACTGAATTCCACAAACCACAATAGAAACTGTATGTTTACTACCAACAGTAACAAAACCTACAAGAGTTACAGAGACTAGTGTTTCCCCCTACTTGACCACATCTGACCAACACCAGACCCCTTTAACAATCAGCATAAATTACAGATATTACCACCAACAACTACCCTACTTCCTCCTACAACTCTTGGTAAACTACCCCAAGACACTATCTAAAGTCACCTCAGACTTCACAGTGAGGCAGCCATTAAAAAAAATAACTTTTCTCTTGTACTAACACAATAGCTAACAGTGATGGCACACTGTCTAGAAACCTAACAGATATTGATGAATGTATTAATATTTCTAAAAAAAACCCAATACCTCTATAACAACACTGCCCTAAAAAACTAAACAGATGAACAGCAAAGAGACTGAACAGTCCCTGCTAACACCCTGCATTCTCAAATCCATAAATAGCAAAACACCAATATGAAAACAGTACAGAAGGGTCACATAACCAGAGACAAACAAAAACGTTACTCCGTCAATCCTAACCAGCCTGATAAGAAGGACAAAAAATAGTATTATAGAACAGATTATCCAACTACGAGGGGATATTAAAAAAAGACCTGGAAAACCTTATCAGAAAGTTCTGGGAACAAAAAAGATATATCACGTAATAGCGAAAAAATAAAAAATCAATGAACCCCAACTCCCACCAACAGAAACAGCAAACAGACTCAATGATTCTTCTCCACTAAGGACAAAACCTTGCCAATAAAAATCCCAACTCTGATAGCGACCCACCAAATGACTACCTCACCGCAACTACCCGAACACCCTGTTTTCCTACTCCGACTAACCCCATACGAAGGCTCCCATATTATCAACGCACTAAAAAACAAGGCAGGAGATTTAAATACCTTACCACCCTTTAGTTACAAAAAAGTGCACAAGTGCTATCACCAATCATTGCAACACCTTTACAAATCCATTGATCCTCCACCTTCCCTACAGTACTCAAAATAGCAAGGGTCACCAAGATCCACAAAGGAGGAGACCAAACAGAGTTGAATATCTATAGGCCAAAATATACAACTTACACCCTCTCCAAAAATCGTCGAAAATTAATTCATAAACGAAATCTACTCCTACCTTATCTCCCAAAACATACTCAACCCCTGCCAATTTGGATCAGGCCGAATAAAATTACTATGGATGCTATTATACACATGCTAGAACATATATACACGGCAATAGAGAAAAAAGATTTCCCACTGGGGATCTTCATTGACTTACGAAAAGCTTATTGATACAGTGACCATACTTGCATCCACGTAAAATGTCACACTATGGTATAAGAGGGCTCTCCCTCAACTACCTCAATCTTACCTCAGCAACAGAACCAATATGTTGTACGCAAATGGGGCAAACTCTTCTCGCAACCATTACAAGTTGGTGTCCCACAGGGAGTGCCTTGCCTCTCTTCTTTCTCCTATACATAAATGACCTTCCAAATGCTTCGCAATTACTCCAAACCCACAACTATTTGCAGATGACACTACATATTCTTCTCTCACCCGAGCCCAGTCACGCTAGCCAAAACTGTAAATAACGAATTACAGAAAAAAAATTTAAAATCTACTCTGGATGCAGACTAAACAAACTTACACTAAACATTGACAAAACCTACTTCATTCATTGGTAACAGAGCTACAGAGTCCCCATAAACATAATGATAAACGGATCACCTATCACAAACTAACTGGGGAAAGTTCTTAGGAATCCCCTTGATAATTGACTCAAATTGTCAGACACATATACAACAAATTTTCTAAGAAAATTTTCAAGACTGTAGGCATACAATCGAAATACTGGACTAGTTCCACAGTCAGCCTCCTGGCCCTATATCACACCCTTATTTACCCCTATCTTACCTATGGAATTTGTGCATGGGGCTCAACAACAATTAACCATCTCAGACACTAATTACCCAACAAAAGGGCTGCCAGTTAGAATGATAACAAATTCTCACTACAAGGCAGCATACTCCACCAATATTTCAATACACTAAACTTAAAAATTGTTCTACTCACCATACAAAACATCCATTCGTAGTACTGCGCACCCTATTACATACATAGAACACTTAACTCTGATATTAACCCTCCCCTCAAACATCTCCTTGCCAACCTCAAAAGAACACATGACCAAAACACAAGGCACAGATCACTCTTTGATGTTCCTCGTGTCCATCTCACACTATGCAAAAACTCAATGCACATAAAAGGCCCTAAAATCTGGAATTCATTACCTGTAAATATAAAAGAAACACTACCTGTTTATAAATTCAAGTCTCTTCTCAAAGATCACTTACTCACCCAAAACCAAATAAATACTGAATAACTGAACCTTATAAATTGTATATCTTAAATGTTTCTCACAATTATATCACATAAATGTTAAACCTAAAACCGAATCTAACTTTATTATTTTTTAAATACACTACCTAACAGAATCACTACCTAACTGAATGCAACCATATGACCTGTCTTTGTAATACTCACTTGTGCTTTATAGTAATCTGTTTACATTAATGTTTTATCACTGATTTCATCATTGCTTAGTTAATCTTAAGTTAATTTTAAGCCAGCCCGTAATGCTATGCATAGTATAAGTGGCTTTGGCATGCTGCTCTTATCTGTATTTTTTTGTACCTCTGTATGTGTGCTCAAATTGGAAATAAATAAATAAAAATAGACAAGGTGGAGAGAGATAGGATGTTCCAGAGAGGGGACACAGGGACAAGGGGTCACAACTGGAAGCTGAAGACTCAGACGAGTCACAGGGACGTTAGGAAGTATTTCTTCAGTCATAGAGTTGTCAGCAAGTGGAATAGCCTAGCAAGTGAAGTAGTGGAGGCAGGAACCATACATAGTTTTAAGAAGAGGTATGACAAAGCTCAGGAAGCAGAGAGAGAGAGGATCCAGTAGCGACCAGTGAAGATTATTATTATTATTATAATAAAAAAAGAAGCGCTAAGCCACAAGGACTATACAGGACCAGTGAAGAGGCGGGGCCAGGAGCTTGGAATCGACCCCTGCAACCTCAACTAGGTGAGTACAACTAGGTGAGTACACACAAGATCTGGAGGCAAACTCCATACACAGTGCCAAGAGCAGGTATAACAACATTAAAAAAAAACAGGTCTACCAACTGAATAGATTAGCCGACTGGAAATTAAAACTCTCGTATCGTGACCCGACCTCTGGATGTCTTCAAGATCAATTCGAGTACTGTAACTCGCTGGACGACAAGTATTTTGTGCCTAAACTCTGGGGAACTACACACAATACTACCTGACCGGACCACACCACATTGGTCTATTCTTATTTGCGTTCTCTCGACGTCTGCCCACAAACCACCCGCACATCCACATTTTTATAGGTTTCTATAAAAATATATTTATCTCTACATTCTTTCTCTCATTTTAGGTATGTAATCTTAACTTCATTATTAAATTCGAGCAACGAACTCGTTAAGTAGCATCGTTTAAGAGTCATAATAACATTATTTATTGATGCTGGCACTTGATTGGTATTTGAAAGGGTGTGTCTAATTTGTAGCCACCTGATTGGTTGCTAATTCAAGCTAGAAAATCTGATTTTCCATCTACTATTTAATATTTATATTTCGTATGTTTTACCGGTTTAAATTTTGGGGGTTAATTTATAAGTCATTTTAAGAAATAATAAATAATTTAATACAAAGATAAATATTTTCGCGGCCTGGTCATTGTCCGGGTCGGGGGGGGTTGACCCCCGCAACACACTGCATGTATACCAATTAAACAACTTGCAGTGAGTGGAATGAAGGTAACTTTCGTTCATTTCTCACATCTCTCATATCTTCCCCGCTCATTCCCCACATCTCTCGTTTCTCCACCACTCAATCCTGACATCTCTCATATCTCCACCTCTTAATCCTCACAACATCATCTCTCATACTGCCTCTCTCCCCATTATTTCCCTTCACATTATTCTAAACGCCTCACACTCATTCTTAACCATCGATCTCTCCCCACGTCTCCATTCTTTATATTTCACATCCTTCACATTCTCTAGTATATTTAATTGTATTTAACCTAACAGACAAATTTCCTTCCTCCTAATCAAAATTTTTTTTACATAGTAATCGAAGAGGATTTTATCTTTGAGCTCTGAAAATATTTTTTCCCCAACCTTATAAGACAACAACTGCTATTTTTTTTTTAATATTTGTTGTAAATATTTACTAACCAGCATGCAAATTTTTCTCACAAGTCTTCTTATTTAAGTATTTTATTGATGGTACTTGATCTGTTAATGTACGAGGCCTGGTCACCGACCGGTCCGAGGGGGCGGTGACTCCTGAAACCCTCTCCAGGTACATATATGCCTGAAGCATTCAAGTGGTTAATTATATTTTTTTCTCTAGCTTCCATGTAAGTTTTGTTTCCACATTCTGCTGAATTATTTTTGCTTCAGGTTTTCTGTAGTAACACTGTCAGTTAAGAATAAAAAGGCACAATACCATGACTGGAACAATATATGAATAACCCGGACATAGGAGACTGAAACTTATGACGACGTTTCGGTCCAACTCGACCATTAAATAGTTAAACGTCGTCATTTGTGTCATTTTTCGATGTGCGGGTTATGTGCTGTTTATAGTTTATTCATATAACTGACTTGCATCAATAACGTTTATAAGTCTCTGATGCATCTTGTATATTGTATGCCTGTGTATAATAAACTCATTGACTAACATCAGCTGTGACTTTGTCTCTCTCAGATCGGGAAAGTAAAGGTGCTGTTGGATAAGAACTACATGCCTGGTGAGGCTCGGGTTCGTGTGCCCATGACGAGGCAGTTCGGTAACTCCATCCTCAACATCTACATTCCTTCTCTCATCCTCATGGTCATCAGCTACCTCACCTTCTTCTTCAGAACCTCCATCTTCGACGTGCGTGTGATGGTCACCCTCACCGCCCTTCTTGTGCTTGCTACACTCTTCGCTCAGGTCTGCTCATGAAACTCATCTCGAATCACTGAAACAGTTCCACTAATGCTGTTATAAATCATGTTTATATTAAGTTTTCAATGTCTGTAAATAGTTTAATGCTTTAAACCGTAGTCAGCATAAAGATACATAAGGTCATTTTTATTTTCAATTGACAGGCGTCAAATTCACTGCCCAATACATCGTACTTCAAGATGGTGGACATCTGGCTCTTGTTTTGCGTGGGTGTCACCTTTCTGGTCATCATATTTCATATCCTGATTGATAACCGGCTGTTCAAAGAGAAAAAGACAACCCAAGTAAAGCCTTTTGCCATGCCAGCATATAGGGAGATCCAGCTGTTGGGACTTCGAGGCCGCTGCAGTTGGTCACCAGACCTGTCGGTCGAGCAGCTGGAATTAGTAGCCAAAGTCTTCGTCTTCTTTCTCATGACCACATTCATGATTGGATACCTGGCTTATATTATAAGCTGAGGCTCCCTTCTAAGACTCCCTTAGGACATTGGCTGTCTATTTTGCAAGCTTGCAAAGTTACAACACAAGTAATAATTAAGAGATCTTGCAGATGAACGACTTGTGTTTATCACACTGAACATACAGTATATCAACACACATCGTACTATACAAAAACATGATATCATCGCTGATCTATAGACACGTACGAGGTCCCAGACAGAGACAAACTTCTGTTTATGAGCAAAATAAAGAATATTCAGCGCTTGTCAAATGGTTCATATTGAGATTAAAATTGACGCACTAAATATTTGGAAGTTTAACATACAGATATTTTTTATAGCATAATCAGATTTAATATACATCAGAATTTTAGGATTTGCGGGCCACTCCATAATTGAACTCACCAACTATATGGAATAAACTATAGCTGGATTTTCCGACACACAAGCACAGAAGACCTTCGATATGACGTCTGCAACCACACACTGGCAAGTACACACACACATTCACAGGATGAGAGTGAGGAAGAATGATGTGAAAATAATGGATTAACTACAAAGTGAAGAGGTTGAAAGAAAGCTTTATAATAATTTACAAGGTCAGGAAAGGTCTTATAAATTATTACTAGAATTTAATTCTTGTAACACTTTTTTTACTAAAGCTGAGAGATGGGGGAATTGAAATCGAAAACAGAGCACCATTTGGGAATATGGAAAGAGCTCACATAACACTTAAAGAAAAAACCTTGGAATAACTATTGTACCAGCTCTCTCTCCTGAGGCACATGTAATGTCCCCTGGCTCAATGTCACCTCATTTCCCCCTGGGTCCGCCACGTAAAAATGTTCTCCCAAAGCTGTCAAAAAATCATTACGCCATACTTGGTTCCATTTATCCATTACGTTCACCAACTTATTGTGATTCTTGTGTTAATATAAAACAGAGTGGCATCAACATCATAGGCTGAAGTTGCAAACGTAAGAGTGGTTTTCAAAAACCAAGATATTGACTCGATCGAAATATTTTCTTCTTCATTGTGGGGTGGAGCCCGTAACTGGCAAAACTCAAACTGAAGCTTGGGAAAATCCAAAAGTGAAACTTTTCAGGTTATTTGAGGAACGAAGAACAAGTGAGCATACGATAACGACATTCAAAATAATTGTTTGCAAGGGATGTAACAAGAACAGGAGAGAGTGACTGTAAACTTTACACCAAAATGACCGACAAGGATGTCAGAAGATATTTCTTCAGCTTTAGAGTGATTATGAAACGAACTGAACTTCGACAAAATAAAGTGTGTTCCTTCCAGGTGAGTTAAGAGGCCGAACCAAGAGCATGGAGATCATTCCCTTCAAACTCATTAGGTAATAACACACACATAAACAGTATAAACTCCACCTAACTACACAAGGAGACCCAGAGGCACACACCTATCTACACATGGACCATAAAGGCGTGAAGAGTCTGGGTACACAAGTAACTACCATATCAGACGATTTTACGAGCATACCCAGCAGTCTACTGAAAGTAAAAACAAGATCTGAGACGCCAATCTACTGGACAAACCACTGGAGAAAAAGGACAAGAACTCTAGCCTTATTTATGGGTTTATATTTGCAAGTGTTTGTTAAGATAGTGTGTGTTTTAGAATTGACTTCTTAGTCGGAATCAACAAATACAAATTTGTGTCATCTGACGTACCAAAATTGACAAATAAAAGAGACATAAACAGATATTTTAAGAGGTACATTTAAGATATACTGTATAATAATATGTCGTGGAAAGGGATCCTTAATGCAGGTGAGGGGCTCTGCATCTAAAGATGTGGACCTATCCTCCTCTTCCTAGGATCATACTAGGTTACCTTTCATCCCTCATGCGTTAATTAGTAATGCATGATTTTACATTAACTGCCAACAAACTATATTAATTTTTCTTCATATAGACAACATCAGAGGACTGGAGGGAGATTCTTGAAATATCGCTTAATGTTCCTCGTAAAGAGTGGTGTAGGATCGATCGTCTTTTCACTAATCTCGAGACAGAAACTCGACCCTTACAACTCTGTAATGTGGATTAGATTTTCATTTTAACTGCTTAATCGTACTGGAACTACTTGTCGTGATTCTAAAAGCAATATTCATTTCTTTTTCTTAAGTATAAAATTCTCTGAAGCTCTTCTCCTTAGAGAGTTTTTTTTTAACAAATTGATTGATTTTATAAAGAACAATTGCACTTTTTTATTTAGTTTGTTATTTATTTTTTCATAAATAAGAGGGCAATGAAATGATGATTTAACTGCAGCTATTTTACCTCTCCGGACTCCAAGTTAATTCACTTATTTTAATTATCTTCATCATATCCACCACATTGTTAGGATGACTTTTACCAACGTTGGAATATCCCCCGTGGGTCTGGACTTTTATTACACATTGGCAATTTTTTGGGCAGTGATATGAGTCCCAGAAGGAGTGTGGTTACTAGCATATAAGTGTTTTTCAAGGATGCTATCCATGACAGTCGCCTCGCACCACATCACGTAATTTTCCCACTAGATGATTAAGGGACGGAAGAGAGTGAAGAATTTGGCTCATAAAGCGTTTAACTTAGGACTGGAAATCGAAAACAAAGACCTTTCGACTGCAGTCGTCTTCCATAGTATTCAACAGGTCACCATGGATTGTGAACCACTCTTCATGTGAATTTTGTGCTCCGAGCCCATGATGACACTCTTCAGGTCACTTGTTCTATCTAGGCTGGAATATTGCTGCACACTAACAGCACCTTTCAAGGCAGGTGAAATTGCTGACCTAGAAAATGTACAGAGAACTTTCACGGCGCCAATAACGAGATAAAACACCTCATTATTGGACGCTTGAGTTTTAAACGTATTCCCTGGAACCAGGAGGAAAGATACATGATTAAAACACCTGGAAAATCCTAAAAAGGGACTAGTACCGAACTTGCACACGAAAATCACTCACTACGAAAGCAAAAGACTTGGCAGACGATGCACCATCCCCCCAATGAAAAGCAGGGGTGTACTACCCCGTAAGAGACCATACAATAAGTGTCAGGGGCCCGAGACTGTTCAACTGCCTCCCAGCACACATAAGGGGGATTACCAACAGACCCCTGGCAGTCTTCAAGCTGGCACTGGACAAGCACCTAAAGTCAGTTCCGGATCAGCCGGGCTGTGGCTCGTACGTTGGTTTGCGTGCAGCCAGCAGCAACAGCCTGGTTGATCAGGCTCTGATCCACCAGGAGGCCTGGTCTCAGACCGGGCCGCGGGGGCGTTGACCCCCGGAACTCTCTCCAGGTAAACTCCAGGTATGAAACTCCTCATCTGCCCAGAGGAATGAAACGGTGACAGGTATAGTAGCGTCATGACACTTATAGATGAAAATGGTACTTGGGAAAGCATTGAATGACACGAGTCGAGAAAATTTTCTCGCGTCCTACCCTGGCCTCACCTTCCTTCGTAGGTCACGTTATCTGATGCATCACCAGTAGAGATGACAAGCCCAAAACATGCCAACAAGACTAACATAACCTACAACACCTGTAGAGCCTAAAGGTGAAGCCTTTAAGAACCCCAAAGGCCTATAAGACTAGCACACCCTACAATACTTTTAATACCGGTAGGACTTGCAAGACCACAAGAGCCTACAAAACAATTAGAACCAATAAGAACACTAGAGACTACGAAACCAGTAGAGACTATTAGACCACTAGAGGTTACAAGAGAAGAAGATCCTGCAATATTAGTAGGGCTTACAAGACCAGTAGAACCTACAAGCTCCCAAAAGCCTACAAGGCCAAGAGAGCATACAAGATCAAACGTAACCCAGTCATACGTAATTCAGCCATGTATAATTAAGTCAAACGTAGTCTGCTCATACGTAATCCAGTCATACGTTGTCCAGTCATCAGGCAGCTGTGTGTGATAGTGAGATTTTATTACAACTACCTTCTGTGTGAGATACAATTATTAGAGCAATAAAATGTGAGGGGAGAAACAGACAAATCTTCACTTCAGAAATCTTTTAATTAGAAATGCAAATCTAAAAAATCAAGCCAAAGTTCGGAGATTCCGGAAAACTCGCTCCTTCAAACTGCCTTGAAACTGCTCTTGGCAGTCTCTGGTGTGCGGCAAATTATAACCATTGCTAAGTTACGACCCATAAATCGTGGAGCAGAACCTGGTAGTCTGTAATAGGGCTGAAGGTAAGGGAATGGAGAGGCAGACCAATGATAAGCGTCCACTGTAGGAGACGGTCAGACTGAAATTATAGATGACACTTCCGGGAACTGCCTCCAGTGGAGTGTACAGAAATTCCAGGGAGAAACACCCTCATGTGAAACGTTAGCTGTATGCTGTATGATCCATAGGGGTCAAACTTGAGATGCCAGTTCTTGCCCTGGTTCAGTGATGCATGTGTTATACAAATGACTCGGGAGGAACTTATTTTAAATAATAAAAGCTATGAATACTTGGAAGACGTCTTCGAAGCACCTCTCGGTATAAAAGTGTCGGAACATATTGGGTGGTTTTATCCTAGAACACTATCTGTTTTTATTTTTAACAGGGTATACAACAATGGTAACCCAGTAGTCATTTCATCACTGAAACACAGTACTGAGAAGGCAAGGGTTTCTTAATTACTTATACCCAGGATCGACATCCCAGTACCTAGCCCAACAAAGTACTCCCCAGAAACTAGAACCAAAAGTGCTTAACGCAATGAACGTCAGAGGCTGTTTAATCGTTGAGACGATCGGTCACCATATGAAAGAAACCCATATGAGGAAATCATCCGTATTTCCTGACGAACACACCACACCACTACAGAGCAAATGCAATGTAATTTTCAGGGGCATGTCAGGGTTCTGGGGAGGTGACACAATCTGAATATTACCGTCACCATCATCGTATTAATGTCCCGCAGTTTTCACCTTACCCGAGTTAAGAAAACAGCGGAAATCGAAAGGATGGAAGGCAAGGCTAATGTCAAAAGCTGTAACGACCTGTAATTCCGAGAAAGACAACTGCAACCAAAATGAATGTATTCATCCGGCCGCGTTAATAAGGACAGGTTCCGTGAGTAATGTTGAGTAAATCATGGAAAGAGTGGCGTGCTATCCAAATTGGTTGGAGTAGAAGTTATGTGTGATTGGCTCTATGATAGGGTGAAGATGAAGATCCTACACCTGGTAATATCAGCCAAGTGTGGGTCATCCTCATGTGTTGCAAGACGATACTAATGACATTAATCTTATTTTTTGTGAAGGCCACGACCAATTAGATGCACATTATATAGAGAAACTTTATTATCAGGGTATCCGGTCTGGAAGTTAATCAGGTGTACCGGATATCAAACCAAGAGAACTCATTGACGGATGTTGGTAACGTAGATAATGTACATTATTTACCGGCTATTGTTTAATTAATCCTAAATTGTCAAAACAGAAGTGCACCCCTGGAATGTTTTTTCCAGGAAGATTAATTATCGCTTGAAATAATATTCATTGCTAAGTTACACATATCTGTGTATTACTCAATGACCCAAATTAAGGTTTACCGTTTTTATGTGAGAATAATAATATACACATTAATGGCATTTATGGTTGCATCAATGCCTATCTATCATACGTAGACACATAAGCCCAGGCAACATTCGGTCGACC